CCGGCGACGAGCCGCTGCCCAGGCCCCCGCGGGGCGCTCCTCACGCCAGCGACCAGGTGTTGGGGCCGGGAGTCACCTATGTGGTCAAGGTGGGTAACCCACACAGCTGGGCGAAGGTCCTGGGCCAGGGTGCGTGGGGGAGTCGGGACGCCTGGGGACAAATGTCCTCTGAAGCCCCAAGGTGCGGGGAACACAGACGACGGTTGGATGTGAGGAAATGCGCCCTCCTTAGCCATCCTCTTGCTCGACAGGGCAAGGAGTGAACTACAAATGTGCCTTTCGCTGGTATGTGGGGTAAAGGTTGAACTGTCTGGTCACCTCGCATGGGGCCTGCTTTCTCCAGAGCACTGGTGTTGAGACATACTCCTGCCACCTGGCTTCACCAGGAGTCCTGCCATTCCCTCTTGCTCTAGGCGTCCATCCTGGGATCATGGTCTGGCCTACCAGAAGTACACTAGTCAGACGTGGCAGCCACCTCTGCCAAGCCCCGATGAGGGATGTACCCCAATGACACAACTTTTGTGTTCTTCGGTGGTGGCGGGGTGGGTCATATTTCCCCTCCAGAACAAGAATGCCCAACTTCTGGAGGTCAGGGCAGAGGTAGCCTTGCTTCCTGTAAGATGGGTTCTAGTGTCTTACCTGGAAAGATACTCTTCGGCACTGAACTGTTTTGGTTCAAGGAGTAGTTGGGGCTATCTATCGGGTGATAGTAGTCTTTCCTTCAAGTGAGCTAAGAGGGGATGAGGCTGGGGCTCTTGCTCCCCCAGGCTGGAAAGGAGTTTTTCTTGCAACACAAATAATGTTAATCGTTTTTCAAAATTTCACAATGTAACTGGTAGAATTCCTACAGTTCACAAGCATCCCATGGTGTTTAAGGTACTCAGTACAGCTCAGGTAAACTACTAACCCATTTCCTCCAGTCTGACCTGCTGAAACAGCCACAGCCACGCTTCTCCCAGGTGAGGGCCAGGAGAGGGTCCAGGGGCTTACCCCAGGCGTGGCTTTTCTGATGAGACAGAAGCTCTCCCGGCCACCTGCATTGACAAACCTTTAGAACAGTCTGGTCTGTAAGCACTAGTCGCAGATCCAATTAAAAAACCCCCACAGGGAGCATCTTCAGGTAGATATGCAGTATCTTGGCAAGTTGGAACCAAATCCCCAAAGGAATACATGCTATCTTTGACTGTATAAAACACATAAAGAGAATGTGGCCACCGGAACCTCCCCCCTCCCTCCAGTCTGCACTTGAATTTGACCTCTCAGCTACTGAACGCAGATCATATTTTAGCATCACGTTTTAGCAAAAGGGACACAGCTCAGCATCAAACATACACATTTGGTTGAGTTTAATCTTTAAAGGGATGAATATTGCTTATTTAAATGATATGTCCAGGGTCCAAAGAGTAAAACTAACGAAGCAAGAAACCAAACAGAAACCAAACCACGGCTACCTGGAGGCTAAACCATGACTAGAACATATTCGTTACCTCTGTTAGCTTCATAATTGCATCTTCTGCTTCTGTTTGTGAAGCGTTTAAAACAGGCACACGGAGCTGGGCAAAGCTGTTGGTGCGTGCTAGGCAGAACACAGAGGTTGTTTTCAAAATGCGGGGCAATTCTCAAACTCATGCTTTGAAAGACCCACTTTGCTTGACATCAACTGTATCCATTCCCAAGGAGCAGGTCATTGAATTTGTAATTTGAATATTCAGCCAGACAAATTAAAATGGTATTTTAGGTAGAGGAACCACTTTACCTAAGGTATAGACCAAATGAGGAACATAGGAAGATAGTGGTTTAGCCTAGACTCTTTCTGTGGGGACAGGTTTGAGTTATCTCAGAGCCTGTGGCAGTGCATTGAGGGTCAGAAAGCTGATTGGGCCTACTCTGAGGCTACTTGTCCAAGGGAGAGGACACAGCAGTGCCCCAGGGATCCTGGCACATGGAGGTGCATGGTACCAGTCATTAGTGGCCTGTACTGTCCTCTATTGTCACTGTTTAGCGTCTGTGAACAGTGGTGTCATGTGAACATAAGCCCAGAGGTGGTCCCTGCATCCCTGAAGAAGTCTGAGATCATACAGAAAGAAACCCAGACATTAAAGGAAAAATGCAGTCCTGTGTGCGTGTTGCCTTCAGCTGACTGAATGACTCCATGTTGGCACATGTGAGCAGATTTCCCACCTTGCCATGTTGAATTTTAAAATGACTTGTTTTATTGAAAAACTGAAAATCTCTTAATTTAATGTTACTGAGGAGTGAAAGGTTCTTCTGATGCCTTCAAAAGCCTGTATTTTATAACAGGAACTCAGTTCTAAAATCTGAAGGTTTGTAGTTTGCAAAACTGCTTAATTCCATTTGATAAAATTTTGTTTTCCAAGTTAAAGGCAGTCCCAGATACTTTCCAGCTTTCTGGAAGATTCCTACACGGCATCATCACAGGTTTTCTGCAAGAGGTACCTAGGGGTAGGTGGTCGCGGGATGCTGTACACAGCAGTGGTAAGACTCAGATACTTAGGCTACAGGACAGGGGTACTGTACCTACTGCAACCTGATGGGTGTTGGTTGTTGACAAAACATCAAAGCATTTCTTCGGCAGCTGCCGACATTTCCAGGGAAGGATGGAAAAATGAAACTGAGAAAGTTCTCGGAATTCCAAGCCAACACCACATTTAACCTGTATTTTCAACTATCCCTGCCTGCTGCTAGTTTGCCCTCCTTTTTTAAAAGTTTTTTTTTCCTTTCTTAAAACAGGGTCTTTAGTAATCCAGTAATCCAGGCTAGATTACTATATAGTTAATGATGACCTTGAACTTCTGACCCTCCTACTTCTAATTCTGTGTGGAAGCTGCAGGTGTACATAGCCCTGCCTGGTTCATGGAGATCCCCTGGGGCTGGGGATCAAACCTGGGGCTTCCAGCACCCTAGGAAAGCACTCTGTCAACTTAGTCACAGCCCCAAGCCCTGCTATTAAGTAAGAGCAGGGGCTTACATACTCAGGAGGACTCAGGTTTAGACTAGTGTGAGCCAGGCCTCGCTGGCAATACTGTAGCCCTCGAAGTAGCCCAGGCACTTGTTCAATTGTGGAAACATAAAAGAGAAAGAACAAGAATCCATACCCCAGATAGACAGAGCAGAACATCCTAACAACAAAGAACCATAAATAGTGTCATTACACGTCTGTCTAAAGTTTGCTTTCTGTTTGGATGTGACAGTCTGTAACACGCTGGGGATGAAGGAGGGTTGCTCGGCAGCAGCTCACCTGCTTGTGGTGTGACTGCCCCGTGGATCGCTCAGGCTGTTTCACCTTCTCCTCCCTGGTTCTAGGGAGATTTTAGAAAGGAAAGTCAGTCTGAGCCTGGCCCTGACGAACCTCTGAAGACACGTGGGTCTCAGGTCCTGTTTTGGAACTGCTTGGCGGAGTCTGAGACTACAGTCATTGGGTGTGAGACTATGGTGTGCCCCAAGCCAGCATGCGGCTCCAGCGTGGTCCTCACAAGAAGGGCTGTTTAGAGTGCAGACTTTAAAAGGCTGAGAGGGGTTGATGTGCTGAGCAGTGAACACATTTAGGACAGGCCCAAGTGCCAACGGCCAAAAGAAGACAATCCAAATGATGGAATGCACGGCTCCTGTGCAGAGCTGGGCATACCGTGACTGCCACTCAAGAAGTTGGCAGGTTAGGCTATTCAAAGGTCCTGCTGATAGCTGTATTTCAGTTTGTGAGTATTACCCCTTTACTGGAATGAAGACGACAAGCTATCTAGAAATTTCTTCCCCCAGTATTGGACATTGAACCCAGGGCCCAACACCTGCTCAGCTAGAGTTCTACCACGGAATCCCCAGGGCTAGAGGAGGTTTTACCAGCCGAGAAGGAGGAGTTATCCCCTGTTATTTGGGACTGGTTTTCTTCTGGAAAAAGGGCTTGGTTTTTTTTTATTATTATTATTTTATTTTTTTATAAACTCTTTTAAAACAATTTTATTTCTCTGATTAATGAATCTGATGGCATCTGGGGTGTGTGAGTCATCTGCTTTATTCATTAATCTTCTATTTATCATTATGGATATTTTTATAAACTAATTTATCCTGAAATTTGTTCTTAAATTTTGATTGGACTCACCTATAAAGATGTCCTTTTTTTCCAGCTCCTTTTTAGTAACTGTGACTGAAATTCATAGCAAACAGTCACTTCAAGTCCGTTTAAGTATGCCCATGATGCCTTAGACAGTGGAATCAATCAAATTTGTTTTAGTTTTAGATGAGTTGAACTTTAAAAGTTGTTTTTTCTTAAAGTTTCTTAATCAGCTTGTAATGTATAGCTTGTAATGTATAGCTTGCATGAAAACATTGCCTAAAACATTTGAACAATATCTTTAGGGATTCTCATGGCATTACTGGTTAATTCTTAATTTCATCTGGAAAATGTGTCCCCTCTCATATGATATAAAGTGTTGATGTGTAAACTGAACACACTCTGTCACATATCCATATCTTACACCCCACTGCAAAGATATATACACATGCCATACACCACACATGTCACATACGTATATACTTTACATCCTACACACACACTACATAGATATATACTCATACCACACATACTCATACGCACCACACCACACATACAGAGTACAACCCCACGCCCCATATAATTACAAACACACACATCATTATAACCAATTACTACATACACACATACACACCACATATCATATATAAAACATCTGTACATCTTACGTACACAACACACAGATATGCACAGATGCCACATACCACACACATACCATTTTATGTCCACATATCTCCATTCTCTCTTACACTGCAGAGCTATACATACATGCCACAAGTACACACCACACACACACACACACACACACACACACACCATGTTCCATAATACTCTCTCACACACATTGCAGAGACATACACACACTTCACTACACACACACACATATATATATATATATACCACATACATAAATACACATCTCACACACTATACACACCATATAAATATACACACATGTCATGCACTACATAGACTCATATCTCACATCACTATGCCTTGCTCTTCCCATTGTATAGATAT